ACCAATTTTCAAGCAGATAAAAGTTCTGAAAAGGCAACTGTGGCTGGACAGATTTTGAGGGAACAGTTTAACTGTCCTGCCCTTAGATGGTGTTAACGGCCTCTATTACTGTAAATAGACACACTTGGTGTTGATTAGTTAATTAGATACTTGTTGATAGGTATAGAGGGCACATTCTCATGTGGGTGACATGAGAATGTACCCTCATGGCACTGGGTCTTTGTAGTTTGGGGAGGTTGTTGAAGAGTGATGTTTCCTGAAAACTTTGTAAGATTTCTATAGTAAAGTCTGATGCACTGACCAATATTTTCCAACGTGGGTTTTAATGTGCTCAGATCCCTCAAAACACCTTCAGTAAGAGTGTGCTCTGTTACAGAAACTTCTTCCATTTAAATAACCTACTAATTAAGTAAGCAAGATGTTGAATGGAATGAAAACCAGCAGGTGCAATTGTCCTAAGGAATTAGAAAGCCTTGCTTTAAACATGTTTGACTCTATTCACCCATTTTCTAAATGCTTCACTCAATTCATGGTCAAGAGAGAGCTGGTGCCCATCGCAGCAAGCAACAGGCACAAGGTGGGTCACACCATGGTCAGGATGCCAGGACTCGTTTAAAACATTTCAAATCTAAAAGAGACTAATATTGGATTACTAAGATACTTACTGAATTACTTAATGATATATTAACATTACAGCTTGAATTGTTCTTAATGATATTCTTTTAAATTTAGAAATATACACACATCAGGAAGGCTCTGAGCTTCACCTGTAACCAATATGTTCTGTGCACTTTCACACGATTGTCTCTTAACGCATCTCTAGGGGAAATGAGCTGGAAACACAAGCAAATCAGTGGAAAGGTCAGGAAATCCCCCATGTGATTTGTAAGTGGGACACAGTAACCGTAAAGCACAGGAAGCAGGAAATGACAAAAGACCCCTGAAAGACAGAACCTTCTGTGTTTTGTCATTCATTGAGAAAATGATTTCAATACCCAAGCTTTTGGGACAGAGACGATACCCCCCCTAAGGAATTTTTTTAATGGCCAGAGGAGGAAACAGAAAAAAATTAGAATAAATTGTTTACTAATACTAATAACCTAGGGGATGAGGAGGAGTACGAAATCTTCTAAGATGTTTATGCTTACTAGGCCTGTAACCACATAAACGAAAAACACAACGCTGACCAATACAGTTACTATTCCACAAAAATTCAGTTTTTGTTTAATCCAATTGAGTAAAAAACTATGTCACTGTGTGTGAAATAAACATGGTCCTAATGGCTCTGTGCTATCCTTATTGGTCTTGGTGCCATTTGTTTAATTTAGACAACAGTTAAAGGATGCAATGTGGAAGTTAAGTTTCATCGGAAAAAGACAGTAGCGGTAAGCACTCTAAGTAAACCCCTTTCCTAGTAGTCGGCTTACATTAGGTGGGCTTGAAAGACATGTTGGATCCCTCCCTGGGTTTTTGCTTTCCGGGGAGGAGATTCTGTTGTGGTTTTCTTGGTTTCCAGGGGAAGGGTTAGTAAAAGACAATGTGTTTCTTATTACAGTAGTGCGAATCACGATCACAGTGCATGGTGAACAGTGGGCTCTCACTGATGAGATATAACCTGCACAAAGGCTGTTAAAAGTGCTTCGGTCCTGAAAGCTGTCTGAGACATGAGACAAGTAGACATGAATTTCAAACTACGTTTTTTTCAACAGGTACAGCACAGGGAGCAGGTGTCTGTGTGTGTGTTGTTATATTAATACTGCATGCATTTGTACATTTATCCAGATGTAGTGGACATATTCCTTTCCCTAAAATTTGTGAAGTGTTGATGTTGTTTTCACACATTTCAATGATGCTAATGTAAATTATGCTGCATAGTCAAAAATACACAGATTGCATGTTGGATCCAAAAGGTGGAGTGCAAAGAAGGTTCAACAGTGTCATCACAGTGACATTAACTTAAGGTCTCCACTCCATAACACACGTGACCGCTGCATGAATGTCTTCTAAGGGCAGTCACATCTGAAGAGATGTAAATTGTGAAAAAGTATTGTGCTCATCAAAATGACAAACAAAAACCTGTACTCTTCAAGTTCAGAAACATATTACAAATGAAAAGCAACTTCTTTCTAAATTAAAATAAACATATCAGGGCGGGCCAGTATTTCTCATTTGATCAGTTCAAAACATTCAGCAGTTTAAAAAAAGTTTCCGCCAAAGCAAAATGCTGATTTTCACATCCATTTATTAGAACTCTTCCAAAGAACATTCATCTATGGAACTTCACATATACTTAAAGCACAGCCAAGCATAGACTTCTTTTTACTCAAAATTCTGTTTAACCTGCTTTCTCCTACATCTCTGCTCCTTCATTAAAAAAAAAAACAATTCTCCAGCACAAATTCAATATGTAATCTATATGTCTGGTTTTGTCCTTTGTGTTTGAGATGCATGAGTGATGCAGAGCTGAAATCAGATCTCACCATGACATGTGAGGTGTACACAACTGCTCTCGTAGATATTTCATGTGGCACTTTCATTTGAACTTCTTATTATCTGTGTCCCAAAACAGGATATGGAAGTCTTTGTCCATCATGTCCAACGACTTCAAGCGAATTTAATGTTAGCTCCCTGCTGATGCAACTACTTCACTCTGAGATGCAACAGTGCAGACTGTCTTCAGAATCTGAATGAATGACTCAGGAACACTCAGGCAATTATTCCTCAAGCCACATGGAAGTGGTATAAACATGCTACAAAATTACAAAGCAAGAGTCATCAGAGGGTGGTGTATTTGTTAATGAATCAACTGTAAAACATGAACCAGAGGTCAAAAGTGGAAACTATGTGGAAATGCTTTTAAAACTGAGGACAGAGGATATGCTGCTATGCAAATGGATATGTGTCTAACATTCTACTCAGCCTTGTTGTTGAAGCAGATACCCTAGCTCCTTTCAAGAAAGGGTTGGGTGAGATCCACAGATCAATTAGCGACACAGATCAGACTGCCAAGTAACTCGGTAGAATGGCCTTATCGTGTTTGTGACTGTACTTAAATAACCTAAACTGGCCCTGGATGATCCCTGAGTTTTGTTTTATACAAGCCCTTAAATTCACAGCTGGTGATCACTTGGACAAACAATAATGAAGAAAAATAATTGATTGGATTCTGTCCTGTACTTTGTTTAGGGTTTAAGAAGTAATTATCTTGTGTATGATGAAGATATTAAATTCCAATTTATAAATCGATGCCAAATCTGATTAAATTAATTCTAATAATTTATTAGTGCTAATTCAATATGCAGTGAGCTTAATTCACAGCAGTTTTTTTATCAGAAATGCAGAGACAGATGTTCTTAATAACACGATTTCTTATGATATTGAAGCTGTTCCAACACCTTTAAGAAATGGTACTGGACCTCTATCATCCCAGATTTAAATCTATGATTTAATTCTGGGCTAAGTATACACTTGCTACTTATTTGAATATTCAGTGTTGCGTGCTCTGGTATCACCACACTGGGAAAACAAGGCAAAGCTGACCAGTAGCTATCAGTTCTCCACCATCTTAATGTCCATCATTCTGAAAACAGCTGGCTGTACCTGATATTTTCAAAACAAGTTAATTCCTAATGCTTGCCATGACAGGCTCCAGGTCCCCTGCAACTGGAAGAAGCTGTTAGAAAATGGATGGATTAGTGATAGTTACTAATGTCTTCTACAACACAGGCATTATTTAAACTCTCTCTAATTTGTCTTCATACCCTCATACAAGTGCTAGCACTGTTCACACATCAACCTGCTTCATCACTGTAGCCAACATTCTGACAATTGTTTAAGCCAGTTGTAGGGGAGTACTGATTATTTGTTTGTAACTCATATGCATCTTTTACTACAGTACATCAAAGGCTGGGCATAGGGCAAAGGCTGAAATACTTAGGAATGATTTAACTGTGCTTTTGAAGAGCAATCCTAAAATCATTCTTGATTTTAACTGTCAGCCCATGTCTCACATGTGCTCTCTGTTAGGCGGCTCTTGGTCTGTCAGCCTGCTCCTCCCATTCTCCTTCTTCTACTGATAGTAGCGGCCTATCTGTTCAGAAACAGATGGCCTGTGTTCCTGCCACAAGCCAGACAAGCAGACAAACTACGCCTCAGGAGGTAAATTAGTACCACATTGATCGGTACCCCACGCTAACCACGATCACAAAGGGAATCCACCAACCTAACTGACACTGTATGAAAGAGAGTTCCACATGCAATGTTTCTAGAAACCAACCACAGTGAAGTGTTCATTGACAGCCTTGACAAATTATATTGAATGAACCACATCCTTGATTCAATTCAACATTTAGCTTTCAAGTGATGCCAGTTTGCTTTTGAAAAAATATAAAACTATAAAATTGCAGGTTGGTTTGAAGTTTAAGTAGATATCAATGCCAAAACTTCAAATCTGGTAGAAAATAAGAATAGAACATTGCAGAATTGCAGTCCCAAAAAAATTCCCATTGGAATCAAAGTGACATAGCATTCAATTAAAAAGACAGATTGGCCACTTATTATACAGATAACAGTTAAGTCCACATTGTGTTAATCAGTTGTCACAATGTTCCATACTAATAAGTCACATACACAAAGTCTTGTACAAATAAAAACTATGCCAGATTAATGTTTTAGTATTATCTCACGATCTCCATCAGAATCAGGTCAAGATAAAGTCCACATCAGAGTCAGAGAGTCTCAATGGGCCAGAGCTCATCCTGGTTTCTTTGTGGGTTAAATGCTACAATCGGGTCCTGGCTATTTCCCCACATCAAGGGAAAGATGGAGTAGGCAATGAGGCTTTTAAACCCCTGTGGAGGTGACTAATACCACAGAAACAATTTCTTTGAGATTGAACCATATTTACCAAGGCACTAAAGGTCAGTGTCTGCAGCTGAGCCTCTGTGGTTTTCAGAGTTGGTAAGGGTAACTGGCTGAGAGTCCAGTCCCTGACGGCCTACCTGCTGTTTAAGCTGCTGGACCAGACGATCCTTTTCCCTTTTGAGGGCAGCTACTTCATCCTGTGTCTTCTTCTTCTTGGAGGAGGAAAGCTCCAGCAGGGCGATGTTGGCATCTTTCTCACTGATGGCTGCTAACAGGGCCTCCTGCCTGTAACACACAGTAGAACAGCAATACTTTTACATCATGTACAATCTGATGACCAAACACAGAGAAGCTTACAAAATCTGCGGCTGGTAGCAAGGGGAACAAACTAATTAACGCCTGGAGCTGCCTATGTTTCTGTGTTTTAAAACTAAATGTTCAAAACAAGTCAAAACCTCTCATAACAAATACACTAACAGTACAAATCAAAACAGTATATATAATTGACCAATCAGATTTTGTAAGCCAACCAAATGCATCTGACCAAGCTTAATACAGTTTTTGCAATACATAATATAATTCAGCTGTACATTTTTCCATAAGAGCATCTATAAATCAAAGCAACCAAGTGTGCTTCAAGGGTAACTCAGTCTCTATCCAGCCTTACAAAACAGATTTCTTGGCAGCAGTAAAACCTGACCACAAAAGACGTCATGCTTGGAGATTGACACTAGCCTGGGAGAAGTCTAGGGCTCATTGGCACAGTCACACCAGTTAGATAAACCCAACAACACTCAATCACAAGACATTCACAAAACATATGTATTATACAGTGAGTAGGTGCCAATCACACCCAAAAAGTGCATCTAAAACAATCAACATCTGGAAGTATTGGTACAGTACTGGGGCTGCACACATTCTATGTTGAAATGTAAGATGAATTTGATGCTCTGCTTTTTGGAAGACAACAAAATATTGTCAAAAACTGCATTCCAGTCAGGACTGCTGTCTAACTTGCTTATTTCTCTATCCCATATAAAAGAGACTGATATGAGGCTTATTTTTAAAATGATAAAGAAGATATATAAAGAAGAAGATATACCCCCTACAACGGCAATCAAGTCAATTCGATCAGCTAATGAATGACGGGATTAAACACTATATACATGAGAGTCTGAGATGCATATAGTAGGAACAATTCAGGGATCTAATATATTTCCCTTAGATCCTGGAATGTTACATACTGTATCACTGTCTTCAGAAATGCTGCCAAGATTATGATTTCTTGTAGACCCAGGAGGATAGATAAGAGACTGATAATCCATCAATTTGAGGAGATTATTCCAAATAAGTGAAGGCTTGTGAAAAGCAGTTAACTATTTATTCAAATGTCCAGAGATTTTACAATGATAGCTCCTATATAAAGGACAGACAGTCCCTGAGCTTAGATGAAGCAAAATAAAGGATCCTGAGCTTATATTTGTCTTAAATAAAGCTTCAACGGGACATGTGATAACAAAATTCATTACAGTCAAACCACCTTTCATTTTAGAATCGCCCAAGGTTGTCAACAAATTCTAACTCAATTAACTATCCAATTAAAAGCACTTGCAACAGAATTTGTTGTAAATACTGTGGAGGAATTGGAATAGGTATACAGGGAAATAAGAAATATGAGATGGTACAATGATTTATATAAAGGGAATACTACCAAGTAATGTACAGTAACTTGTAAAGAAGACCACCTAGGTAAAATGTCTGTCTCAAAAGATTTTATTTAGTAACTTTAACATATTCTCCTTATGAAATAGAAATCAGGAGAGACCTTAAAGACAAAGTAGGTAAAACCTGAGTACTACCACTGAACAAGAATATGAAGTACAAGAGCAATCATCCTCAAATCAAAGGCATAAGGACCAAGTACAGCCACTTTATTTTACAGCAATCCTACCAATGTTGTCAAATACATTCAAACCACAGGGGAATTGACTGAGGGAATTTGAAAGATGTCATTAACATAGAGTGAAATAAGATACCCAGACTCTGATTTATCAAAAGGACTGATGAAGGCAAGTTGTTCAAATGCCAGACCTAGTGGATTTAATGAAAGAACGAACATGGGTAATATCATACAGCCCTGTTGGGTACCTTGGTCAAACATGGAATATAAGGTCATCAGTTATCACATTTGAGCCCACACTGTGGGCCTATTGCAAAGGGTACATATCACTTCAGTAACTGATTTGCTAAAACCCATGGAACTTTCAGCACATTCTTATTTACCATTAAAACAGAACATGACTTTGTCTTTAATTACAGATGGTAACCACATTTCATTTAAAAAGTAACACTAGCTTGAGGGAACCATGTGTAATCCACAGTACACAATCTGCAATCTCATTTATTCACAGTTTAAGAAAATTCTTAACATTCTAAGTGAAATAATGCCTCAGTCCTTTTACACCCCTCTCTGGCATCTAAACTCACAACTGACTTATACCAACTGATCAGGTGATTGAGGGCAGCAGGTCATTCTCCACAGTTTTCTGGAGAAGGTAGATCAGACATGAGTTTTAATCTTGTCTGAACCTACAGACCTCTCCCATTGACAATGACGAAAAGACATGCAGTAATTGTGAGGCAACAATCCTCCTGTACTAAACAGCTTTTTAGAGGATATCTGCATCTAAGTTATTCAAATGGGAGGGTTTAGTCTATTTCAAAATCCTAAAATGCAAAAAAACATGCCTTTATAAATGTCTCCCTTTGTATGAAGCCATTCACAACAATGTATAACAATGTAACAGGCACTGCTAAGTGTTAAATACACCCTCCTGTAAAATCCTGAATATTGAGTGATGCACTTTTACAATTTTTTAAACAAAACATCAAATAAAACTGCTTGTACTAGTGTACTGCCTGGAGATTTTAATCATTGCTCACGAGCACAGCCTGCAGTTCTGCAGAATGCAAATGTGATTAAAACGGACTTGCTCTGAAAGGTGGAGTTTCAGTGGGCTTGAGAAGAGATTTGCAGACACAAAGATCCGAAAGTAAAACCATTGTAATGCACACTTCCCCTCCGAGGCGGCTTTATTACTGAAAGGCAGGGAGGGGGAGAGGGAGCCCAACATTTTAAACACATGCTCCCGCATTTCAAAACTGTCAAAAAGAATCAATTATTGTCATATTGTTTTCTTTTATTTCTGGAAAACCTCCACTTTACATATGGTGGATTTCATTTGGAACAGAAATGGCCTTGCATCATTTAGTCACACCATCCCTTACTGCAATTTTCATATGGAATTTGTGAAATTAGTTTAGCCATTTCAGGATTGCTCATGCAGCTAAGGGAAAAGCCCCGCAGACTTTCTTGCAATGCTGATGAAAGAAGGAAAGACAAACATCTAACAATGTCATTTTCAAAAGTTATGTTGTGCCAAGTAAGTCCCATCAGCTGTGATATTATCTTTTTCTTTAGAAAAGGGAAACAAAACTGGAATGGAGTGTAACTGAAACAGCACCAAAATGAGAGCATGACAAATCATTCTCACTGCATAATGTTTGATAAAACTTATTTGATTTTTTAAAAGAAAATGAATGTCTTATACAATTTAGTTGTCCAAGCAGTCCTGACTGAGCAGTAGTCACTGACGTGCAGTATTTCTCAATAAGTATAGTAACAGTACTTTTATTTTTCATAAGAATACTTCATAAGTATATTTATTCTTCATTTTATTCTTATTTAAATTCTTCATAATTTAAAATATAAGAATATTTCAGTGTTGCTAATTCAGAAGTTACTTCACACATTTGGAAATTAATTTTAAGCAGATCTCATACTGTATATCTGAATGTCATGCAACAATTACAAATAGTTGTGTATAACTGACACCCACAGTTGTTCATATGTGCAAGACCACAATAAGACATGCTTTGTATCACATTTTTTACAGATCTTGTATATAAAACTGTCATGAAAATGTGAAAATTAAAGGGCATGTTTTTGTATTTAATTCGCGTAAAAAGACTCTTAAAATAACAGAAGGCTAAAAAAATGTACAGTAAAAAAATCAGACTGTATAACTGTGTGAGAAAAGAACAAACTTTTGGACCACTTACAATTCCACAAGTAAAACAAAAGATTGTTTTGACTTTTCATTATTTTAATTGGAGCCAAAAATCCCACAGAATTCCATGTTAAAATCCCAAGACTTCTCATTCCTTCTTTCTGTTGAGTCAGTAAGCACTGACGTTGCTTGTTGTTTCCCATACGGCACAAATAAATGGTACGATTAGAAACCTGACATACTTTAAGGATGTGTAGTGTTGTAACCATATTTTAAAAGAATATGCCGCATCTGAAAGCCAAATTTACATCAGTCTTTTAAACAGAAAGACAATAATACTTATTGTTCAAACAGCCAACGAGAAGAGACAACTTCATCCTATCTATTTGCAGTTTTTCATCTAATCTCTGTGTAGTGAACTTTGGGTCAACAATAACTCATAACAGTAGCATATATTTTTTAATAGTGCTGTTCTGAAATTGTTCAAACTGCTAAAGCTGTTCAGGAAAATTATTTTTTCAAAGCCTCACTTTTTCATAAATGAGCCTAGCACATTTCAAGACGCAACACTGGCAAATGACAATTATTTTACAGCTTCTAATAACATCAGTGTCGTGTTGTATTGTATAATGGGGTCTAGTGAAGATGTTTTCAGCCAATTCATCCATCGGGGACAAACACTGAGGTAACTGTACTAGAATGGAGCACATTAGTACAAATGTCAAGAGAAATATCAAAGTATTAATTTTAAAATTACGAATGTATAACCCAAAGTGCCTGAATTTGCTAGAAGCAGGAAATGAGGCAAGAGAGCTGGTGGGGATGAAGGTGAAGCAAAAGACAGTGTGGGAATTTTGATATTACAGTGGTCTCCCTATTTTTCTGTCCCATGTCCAGTGAACACATCTACGTTCGACAGGAGATTTACGTCAGCTGAGTGCTAGAACAATGCTATATACATATTTATGATAAAAACAAAGGCACATCATTATACATTTTTAGCCTCATTGGCCCCGATCAGGGATCTATATACAAGTAAATGGATCCAGATTTATACAACACTATGGGAGGCTGTCTGGTTTGCATCAGAAATGCCTTGTCTTAGGAATTCTTTCCTAGAAACAAAAACAAGCAGAGGAATGGACAACAGCACAGACTTCGCTTAAGACACGAATCCATACAGAAGAAAAGGACAAGACTGGAAGAACAGAAGAC